TTCTCACAGCACAGTGGATAATGAGCCTGTGTGCACAGAAGAGGACAGGAGATTCAACTGAAGGAAGAAGCTGAAGTCAGGCAGGGGACCAGGAAGCTAAGGACTCCTGAGAGAAGCCAAGAGCTGAAATCACTGGCTGCAGCTAAGGGTTACTGCGGGGAAGAACATGCGTCCCAAGAGACAACCTTTAAGACAGCTCTGAAGCCAAGGGTCCTTGAGATTGCTGAGCATCTGAGGTTGTTGGATCCTGGTAAATACTTCAGAACTCCTGAAAGAACCTGGAAAGACTCCAGAGGGAGTCCTCAGTGCCTAGCTGATTAATGTTAACTGGGTAGGGGTTGCTTAGGGGAAATTGCTGTAGGTCTGAAAAGGGGGAGGAACTGAATCACTCAAGAGCAAAATTGTTAAAGAAACAGATACCTTATTTTGAAACTATTCTGAGTGAAAGAAACTGTTACTAAGTTCATAGTATCCATGTTTATAAGAATTATTTTGAAATAAAATATGATTTACTTTGTTTTACCATTTAAAGTAGAAACTGTGCTGTTTTGTCCCACAGTTACCCACAGTTACTGTTGGGTAAACAGAGGTACATAATTTACCTAGTATTTAAATGTATGGTGGCAGCAGTAAACGAGCGAGAGCCAAGTAAAAGGTTATATCTTAAGCAAAGAAAACAAACACTAAAGTGTGGGATTATTTTCGACAAAACTGTGGTAGCAAAGAGGGGTTTCCTCACAGCTTGTGGCAATAGTTCCTCCATAGCTCATTGCAAATAAACTTTATTAAAGCTATAAAACCCTAAACATACTTCCTGGAGATAAGTTTCCTAGAAATCACTTGTGTTTATGCAAGTGGATGTGCAACAAGATTGCACCCAAGCTTAACGATCACCAACCATAGCTGCATAGGCATAAAGAAGTCTTCATGAGATGCTCTGAATCTCTGCTGAAAAAAGTTCCACAGCATGGGACCAGCAACACTAAATGCTTGATTTCTGGTTGAGGCCAGTCTTTGTAATACATGGGGCAACTAACAGTACTCTACTGGATATGCTTAGTGATCAGGATAGAATGTAAGGGCTCAGGAAGTCCTAGAATGGCTGTTGTGTAGGTCACCTCCTGCAATTGGCTGCAATTGAATATCATCCTAAGTTAGGGTTGCCAGATGTCCCCGGTTTCCGGGGACAGTCCCCAGATTTGCAAATCTCTCCCCAGACAAATTCCATCCCTGGAATGTCCCTAGATTTGCTAATCTGTCCCCGGGAAACGTGGCAGCGGCAGCCTCAGCAGCTTGGAGCCAGCCTGGTAGCACAGTTGGCTCTGGCTGGCTTCAGGAGCTGCTTGCTGCCACCGCCACTGGAAACCAGGAATGTCCGGCGGTACAGATCTCCTGCCCCCTTCTCCATTTGTTTTGAGAGATCGGGGGAGGCTTGGGAGTCAGAGGCAGGCTGCTGTTGCATAGGAGGGGCGCAAGGTGCAAAGCCCTTCTTTCACACCCTGTGAAACATAAATGTGCAGGTTTTTTTTAAAAAAAAAAACTGGGAAACCCTGCAACTCCCAAGCCTCCCCTGATCAGTCAAAACAAAAGGGGAAGGGGGAAGGAGATTGAGGGAGTCTTGGGAGTCAAGGGTGGGCAGCGCGCCATTTACCATTTTTTAAAAAAAACTCAGAGCATTTATGTTTCACAGGGTGCAAAAGAAGGGCTTTGCACCTTTATACAATATGCATGTGTGCTTGAGCCCAGGGTCTTTTGCCTTACCATCCCCACTACTGACTCCCTGTTGCTACTCAGCTTCAAAAGAAGAAGAAAGAAAGTGTCCCTGGATTCATTGAAAAAAATCTAGTAACCTAATCCTAAGTCATAGGTGCCAATCCCTGAGGCCCTGGGTGCCCGAGCACTCACAAAATTCTCCATGAAGTGGCTATGCACCCACAAATTTCAATGCCAAGGCCATGCACACAGCATGGCACCCAAGGACCCAGGCACCCACGGTTGCAGGGGCAAGCTGGCACTCCTGTCGTAAGTGTTCTTTACAGGCTTAAGAGTTTATATGAAAACACGTGAAAAATATTATCCATATTTTATTCAGTAATGTACCAGAAGGTGCTTATAATTGTTGCTTTCTCTCTCTGGAGCATCATGAAATTCCCTTGCACTGTGACTATGAGCTCCCCACCCCCTCCTGAATAGGAAAAAAGCACAATGGATGATTGATTTTTAGTTCTCACAGATGATACAATGACAAATAAGAAGCCAGAGCAATTTAGTCTGAAATATCCTTTTCAAAGGATTTAATGCATTAAGGAGTCAATCTGCTTTCTGCAAACTATCCAATGCAATGCTAATAGCATTATAAACAAACAAAACTCCAAATAGAGTACTGATTAATTGTGTGATATTATCATTGTGTAAACAAGAACACTATGGTGAATGCTTAGATTAGTCTCTGAAAGGTAGCTTTTGGTGTAGATGAATATATACAAGAATATTATAAAGCCATTCTTTCAAAGTGTTTGATCTCATTTTCAGTATTGTTTATGTACAAGACGACATCTCTGCTGTTTAGGAACAAGGGCATCTCACTATCACCACCACCACCAAAATAAAAACAATTTACATGAAAGGGGCTTCGTTGGAATACTTTTCTTTATATTATTTTCTTTTTATGTATTGCATTTCATTATCTTTCTATAAAAGAGTTTGGATTTTATTGCTCAATATGTTAAAAACCGCTAATGAAATTCTATACAAAGCAGTACACATACATGCTTATATCAGATCCTTTTACCTATGGGTAGGCAAACTAAGGGCCCCATGGCCTTCTGGATCCGGCCCACAGACGGTCCAGGAATTGCTGTGTGGATGGCCAGCGCATGCGTGTTCTTTCCCTCTCCCTCACACAGGGCGGCGCATCCTCCCTCCCTTCTGGCTTCTCCCTGCCCTGCCTAGAGGAGGAAGGGGGCTGGGCTTTTTTGGTGCCAGCAGCAGCAGCAGTACTCAAGCAGCTGCCATTTTAAGCAGCCCCTCTCCGGAGCCCTTTTGCACGCTGCTCATCGTCCCTCTGCCGCCGCTGCCAGCCCCTGCCGCTCGCAAGATACAGGTAAACAGCAACTGGGACCCGTGGTGCTCTTGCATCTTTTTTCCCCCAGAATATAGTCTGCCCCCCCCACAAGGTCTGAGGGACAGTGGACCGGCCCACTGCTGGAAAAGTTTCCTGACCCCTGCTTTTACTGGTATGCTGGAAAACCTGGTCTACAGACTAATTGGTTTTTCCCTGAGGGGCATTGCAATGGGGTAGAGGGAGAAACAGCTTCCACTGCCATCTCTCAACTTCAAAACTTTCATAAAGAAGAGAAGAAGAGAAGAGTTTGGATTTGATAGCCCGCTTTATCACTACCCGAAGGAGTCTCAAAGCGGCTAACATAAAGCAGCAGCTACCAGAAACACTCTTAAGGGGGCCTCTGACCATTTTAATTCTCTGTATAAACAGGGTTACAAATGATATTTGCTGTGGAGTAACTTAGGATGCTGCTCATGGACCTGTTTTTTTTTGGGGGGGGGGAGAATTATTTGAGGTTTGAACAACCAATTTAATATCCACAGTTGTTAAACTATAGGTGAGACTGCCCACAAGTTATCTTTTTTTAAAAAAAAATATTAGTAAAGGTAAAGGGACCCCTGACCATTAGGTCCAGTTGTGGCTGACTCTGGGGTTGCAGCACTCATCTCGCTTTACTGGCCGAGGGAGCCAGCGTACAGCTTCTGGGTCATGTGGCCAGCATGACTAAGCCTCTTCTGGCAAACCAGAGCAGCACACGGAAACGCTGTTTACCTTCCCGTCGGAGCGGTACCTATTGATCTACTTGCACTTTGACGTGCTTTCAAACTGCTAGGTTGGCAGGAGCAGGGACTGAGCAACAGGAGCTCACCCCGTCGCGGGGATTTGAACCGTCAACCTTCTGATCATCAAGTCCTAGGCTCTGTGGTTTAACCCACAGCGCCACCCGCATCCCATAAAAAAACTAAAAAAAGTTAGCAATAGATATAATCATAGTTGCCTCTTCTTCTTTCTTAGAAGTGTATTACAAGGAAACTTGTTTTTAGAATAGCTTCTCTCCTGCTGCAAAACCAGCCAGTCTGTACAACCCAACTGCCCACATAATTCTTCCCTTAACCTTCTCAATATGTGTCTGCTGTGAAAAGCAGCTTCTCTTAGTCCTTGGCCTGAAGGTCTCACAGCTGTGGTTAAGTGACCACAAATCACAAAGTAAAAGGGATAATAGCATTTGAACTATTGGCCAATAGACCTGAAGGCACGGTTTCTGATAAGAGGAGGATCTCTCTTTCCATTGTTTTTAGTCTGTTTAGCAATATTCACCTAACATTTAATCTCACTTGGAAATCCAGCCGTTTTACCTTTTATGCTGACTGGCAGCTCCCTCTGTTTAGGCCTTAGGTGTATCTGAAGCATGAACTGTTCAGCAGCAACTGTTCTGAGGTTATTCAGGCATATATATATATATTACATTAAATGCTTAGTAATCACCTTCTGTTTTCCAAAGTAATAAACTTATGCAATGCAGAATGCAAACCTGTTAGTTTTTATGCTATTGTCATGGGAGTAGGAAATAAGAATTTCAGATCTCTGTTTTGTTTGTGAGCCATTTAAAATAGGCTATAGAGGGGCGATATTGCAATAAGCAAGCCTTACCATGAGCAAATTCTGGCTGTGATTACCAGTAGAAATGGAGCTAAAAGGAGGCCACTGAGGAAATCAGTGGGATTCCACCAGCATATTGATGTCTGGGGGATCTTGAGGTTTATAGGACACAACTATGTTGTTCTTTAAAGGGAAAAAGGGGCAATAGGGCTAAGCCCTCAGGGCTAAGCCTTTGCTGGGAACGTGGTTGGTCAATGGTTGACAGGGCTGGCATGGATTGTTTTCTCACACCCGACTGTGATGTAGTCCTGTGCTGCCAGCCACAGCAGAGCTCAGTGGAAGGAGAAGCCAGCCAACCAGTTGGGTCTCAGGCGCCACTACCGAGAAGGCCCTCTGTCTGGTTCCCTGTAAGCTCACTTCTCGCAGTGAAGGAACCGCCAGAAGGCCCTCGGTGCTGGATCTCAGTGTCCGGACTGAACGATGGGGGTGGAGACACTCCTTCAGGTATACAGGACCGAGGCTGTTTAGGGCTTTAAAGGTCAGCACCAACACTTAGAATTGTGCTCAGAAACGTACTGGGAGCCAATGCAGATCTCTCAGAACCGGTGTTATGTGGTCCCGGTGGCCACTCCAAGTCACCCCCAGGATGGACTTGCTCTGCCACTGACATTGGGGATGGGGCCAAGCATCCAACAGCTAGTCTGGTCTCTGATTACTGGTCCTTGCCCTATGCTTACCCAACCCTGCTTATGTGCTGTAATCAATAACATTGTGGTCTGTTTTTAACCATAACTGGCCTGGTCCTTCTCTTCTCGGCTCACGAGGGTGAGGTGTCTGTGCACAGCGCACAATACCAATAAGTCGTAATTTGATACCCATTTAATTGCAGTGAAAATCTGTTGATTTAAATCCGTTGGCAGTGAGTCAAACTCAGTCTAATATAATTACATTTTATCCTATATGTAATACTTAAGGTTCTTTCTTTCTTTCTTAATCTACAGTAACCTCTGCTGCTGCTTCAATATTCAAGCTTTCAAGACAATATTCCTTAGTAAACAGATTGGGAAGAAGATTAAGAAGATTATGGTTCATTGGACAAGAATGGCTACAATTCATTCCATGGCCTTCTTTTTTTTTTTTTGTATATAACAATATATATTTTACATATAACAGATTCTGTGTCTTCTGAAATGGCCCAAAAACATTTATATTTGCAATCACTTGCCGCATTGCACTTCGTATAGCTGAATTAGTGTCGTCTTTCATTCTGCGTATTAAGAAGTTCTGTGTGTAACGCTATACCTAACCCAACAAAAGGTGGCCGAGTTGAGATATCGCCGTAGCAATATGTCTTGCCCTTCTTAATCTTTAGGACCAAGATGACTGCAATGGTTATACTGACCTATTTATGGGCCAGAACAGTTGCACACACAGAAAATCTGGAGTGTATATTGTACACTTAAGAGAACCCTTTTTTTAAACAATAAAAAAGTATAAAGGGAAACATGTCTCAGATTTGGTGCAATTTTTTATATGGCAGACACTATTGACAGCTCAGGGTAGCTTGTCTTGACATGATGGAAATGCTGCGTGTATTGCCAAGAGTTTTCTGGAGAGCACTCTTATTTTTTTTAGGACATGTTTCTCTTGAGGGCATCATTAAATTGAGGTTTCTAAGAATCTTTCGGACAAGATATGTCTCCAAATAGTGATCTTCTGTACATGCAATAAGGCTTAAAGCAAGGAAAACACATGACTGTCAGGAGCAAAATAATGAAATGGGCCCGAGCTATTATCATTTTAACCTGCGCTGCTCAAGTTTAATGCTGTCCGCTTAGTTTCTGTTAAAAGCTTTTAGTCAAAGGTTCTCCCTGATAAATGGTTTATTTTATTTTATTTACATTTTATTGTAAGATGATACAAACCAGACATTTCAGGGGTAATTTCAAAGCTACACCTTTTCAGTATAGAACATGCAAGCTTGAGGAAAGTACAATTCCACCAGGATTATTTCATGACCCTCTGAGATTTATTTAAAGAAGGTTAAATATTTCACCATTAACCACAAATTTGGAGGGTGATGGCCAGTGCTTTTCTTCTAGTAAAAAGGTGCTGGTACTTACCATGAAGTTGTTACAGTGCCACACTTTTCATCAGTGCTTTTCCTTTAGAAAAAAAGGGGGGTTGCTGGTACTGTGTATCCTTAAGTGCCTCCAGAAAAAAGCAGCACTGGTGGTGGCAATATGGCGGCAGAAGTGCATTTATTTAAAAATGAATAACGTAAATTGGAACAATGGCTTCTCTGCTGCTCATAGTGCACACATACACAAACACGCACTCTCAACCTAGCACCCCCACCCCAAGTGACAGGGCGTGCTAATCAAAACTATGTACAGTGGTGCCCCGCAAGACGAATGCCTCGCAAGACGGAAAACTCGCTAGATGAAAGGGTTTTCCGTTTTTCGAGCTGCTTCGCAAGACGAATTTCCCTATGGGCTTGCTTTGCAAGACGGAAAACGAAAACGTCTTGCAAGTTTGTTTCCTTTTTCTTAACACCGTTAATACAGTTGCGACTTGACTTCGAGGAGCAACTCTTAGAACGCGGTGTGGTAGCCTTTTTTGAGGTTTTTGAAGACTTTGGTGATTTTTCCAGCTTTACCAAAACTTCTTTAAAACTTTTAAAACTTTTTTTGGGGGGGGTTGGATTTTGGGTTGGGGTGTTTGGAATTCAAGGACTTGGTGTTGGGGAGGGGTTTGCAAGAATCTGGAAGCTTGTGTTTTTTCCCCTGCATTTTTATGATTTTCTGTGACCATTGGGCCACTCTGCTGTTTTTTTTAAAAAATTCTGGATTTGAATTTCTGTGTGGTGGGTGGCTGGGGGAACAGTTGAGGAGGGGTTTGCAAGAATCTGGAAGCTTGTGTGGTTTTTTTCTGCATTTTTATGATTTTCTGTGACCATTGGGCCACTCTGCTGTTTTTTAAAAAATTCTGGATTTGAATTTCTGTGTGGTGGGTGGCTGGGGGAACAGTTGAGGAGGGGTTCTTCAGCAAGAAGCAAAGAGTGGAAGAGGAACCTTCTTCGAGGTGTCCCCCAGAGTCTTAGAAAATGTACTGTACACTTTGTTGATTGTTAAATGTTTTTCTGTCATGTTTAGAAACTTAATTTATTGTTCCTTCAATTTTTGAAATGCTCTTTACAGTATGTGTGACTTTAAAGAGCACTTAATAAACTCTTGTTGTACCAAATTTGGCTTTGTTTGGACTTTTTTGACCATAGGAACGCATTAATTGAATTTCAATGCATTCCTATGGGATTTCGTGCTTCGCAAGACGAAAAATTCGCTAGACGAAAAAACTCGCGGAACGAATTAATTTCGTCTTGCGAGGCACCACTGTATTTCATTCAAAGCTAATATGCACAACTTATACAAAAATTCAGAAAAGCTAAGTAGGCATGTGCAGAACCTCTGCTTTAAAAATGAACTCAAAACTATTTGAAGCCTAAATTTGGCTTAGAGTGGACATGAACATGAACATAAATTTAGCAAAGAAAGTGATTATTGAATAATGGCTGGGTCTAGCTGAAGCAACGCTGAAGGGAGCCTCGGAGAACAGCATTGCCAAACTATAACTTGCTATAAAAAAGAAAAGAAAATTCAGGCTCCCTTTCATATTTCAGTGTCAAGGAAGGCTGCTATCAACAAGAAAGTACCAACCGACTTACTCACGTGCTGCATATGATCATATAACAGTAGTGCATATGTGGAAACCCTTCTCAAGCAATGACATTTTCAGCCTGATGTCTAGTTTGTCTCTCAAACCTGCCTTCTGGCTTGCCCTTCCATCCTAACTTGTTTGTCGCTCCTAATTACAGATTTGTTCTACAGCTCCTCCTGCATCCTGGCTCACCTCACTCTACTGCACATAAGACTATAGGAAGAACCTGCTGGGTGAGGCCAATGGTCTTTCTAGACCAACATCGCAAAGGCCAACCAGATGCCTATGGGAAGTGGAGAGCTGTAACAAGACTGGAGAAGAAAGCTAGCCGTTGAGATTGCTGAGACCATGGGTCAGCAAACTAAGGTCCGTGGGCTGGATCAGGCGGTCCAGGAATCGCCGTGTGGATCGCCAGCGCGTGGATCACCAGCACATGCACATTCTTTCCCTCTCCTTTACACAGCAGTGGCGCCTCCTCCCTCCCTCCTGGATTCTCCCCGCCCTGCCTAGAGGAGGAAGGGGGCTGGGCTTTGTTGGTGCCAGCAGCAGCCGCGCTTGAGCCATTTTAAGCAGCCCCTCTCCAGAGCTCTTTCGCACGCTGCTCATCATCCCTCCGCTGCTGCTGCCAGTCCCTGCCATTCGCAAGATACAGGTAAGGAGCCGCCAGGGCTCATGTTGCTCTTGCATCACCCCCCAAAAAATATATAGTCTGGCCCCCCACAAGGTCTGAGGGATAGTGGACCAGCCCCCTGCTGAAAAAGTTTGCTGACCCCTGGCTGAGACTATGTAGGTTGAATTATTATTGGTTACGTCCCTGCCATCCTAGGGGTGAGCTGCTGAAAGTACAACTGCTTTCAATCACAGCTCTCCTTCTCAGAAGCTTATTGAAATCACCATTTATGGTTAGAAGTGTCTGACCCCAGGGTCTCAGACTTCTACCTAAGAGAGAGAATGATGTACAACAGTAATTCTACTGGAATTTTCCACAAATGGAGTGACCCCGTAAGGAGAAAACGGGGACATTTTGCACTTTCATGGAACTTCAAGAGACCAAAGAGACACATTTCTCCTTTGTGCCCTGACTTTGGCAAGTGTCTTGAATTACAGGGTAAAATGTTAACAGCTATGTCTATAGCTGTTTTGTTATTTTTAATCTGATTTTGCCGGAACTTCTAATTATTTCCCAATTCTCATATTTAAATAAATGTGATTGGAAATTATGGACCAGAGGTTTCCCATCCCGGCTTTAGACCATTATTTGGGAAACATATATATATCCATTTCAAAAACAAATAACGCTTATCATCCGCTAATCATGCAGTTTTGCATCTTTTTCCTTGCTAATAAGATTAACTATCCTAAGTTTTTGTACAGCTCTCAGTCAATGAATTATTTGGATGCTGGGGTGTGCAAAACGTGCAATCCTTTATTTCATCTGCTGCCTCAGTAGCAACTCTGAGTTTTGACTGCAGAAGTTTCAGTAAGCCCATCCCAGAATTAATTCAATGTTTTTTATCTTCCCATGCATTGCAAAATTATTTGTGCACACAGTGCACAAAGGTTTTATTTCAAAACTGGGTAATCCTGAATCACTGGAGAGAACCTGGCGGAAGTGATAGTTAACTGTTCCAATAAAATATGAGTTATTAATCTGATTATTGATATACAACATTATCTTCACTGCTCTATTTGTACAAAACATTTGCTAATTAAATAAAGTCAAACAAGCCCGTCTTGATTTTGCATGATTAAAAACATTTTAAACAACAACAAAGCAGTACAATCTTCTTATAAAATACCAACATTCTTCAGCTGTGCATTGTCTCCCGCATAGAAGATAAATAATGTAGCGAATTCAAGAGTACAATAGAAGTACAGAAAGGTTCTGTAGACTAGAAAAAACAAAAGTTCCCCCCTTTCCATCTCTGTACGAAGTGCTTGAGAAATACAGAGCCAAATTCAATGGTGCCTTCTCTTAAATGAAAAATTAAGGTCACAAACGACTATACGTATTTCCCTGATACTAAAAAACAAAAAGCACTTGCACATATGTACATACAGTCCCAGTTTGTCTGCACAAACAAAAGTATTTTAGAAGCATGCAACTCTAGATGTGAGAGGGCTTCAGACTGCAATCCTAAAGGCACTTTCTAGAGAATAAGCCCCAACGAACACAGTGGTACTTAGTTCTGAGTAAACATGTATAGGATTGTTTTGCCAGATGCCTAAACCCCTATTTGGGTCATTATATTGCATAATTAGAAGAAAAGAGTCAATTTTAGATGGCAGGGATTTCACAGAGACAAGGGCTAATGACTTTTAC